CCAAGCAATTTTCGCGCCATATTCTTACGGGATAATTATCTCTAGAACTCATCTGGGAGTTTGCGCTTCGCACGGTTGGCCTGTTTCAGGTCCGCGGAAGAGCCTTTCTATGAAGTTTTCTATGGAAAATGTCTGGAATTAAAGACTGCAATCTTCTAATCCTCCGGCCCAAACAAATTACATTGTGGAATTTGTTTAGGAAAGTTCTGCATTGCTTGTTTGTTAAACGATTAGCATTACAATACAATAAGTGGAACTTGAGAAAAAAAGTCAAACAACGCGCTGCCCTTAACAACTGCAGTATTCACTAAGACGGCGGATATTTTTCTCAGTGGTAGCGAGTTTTCACAATGTTTACTCTACAGATAAACTTTTGTCGTCACATCCGCGTACTGGAACGAAACCAAGACACCTCTGCAGCTTAAACATTTGTTGTTACGTTAATTAAATCAAAGATTTCTTTGATTCATAAGTTTGATTGAAATAGCGCAGGTATTCAATGCAGTAATGACCGACTTTTTAAAGTTTCTTTGCACATGTTGAAATATATTTAGCAGTACTAAATACATTACCGGTCCCTTACAGACATAAAATTAACAAAATTGGGTGTCAATGGTCGACCACCGGGATGGTTTGTGGTACCCTGTCTACCACAAGCGAGGACCGAGTGAATTAAACTGATGCTTTAGAATGAAAGGAAGATTTGATGCCAGTTTAGACTACTGAGCAGGTTCTGCGATGGGCGAAACAGCCGGCAAAACATTACCGATATTCTAAATGTACCAGACTCAACAATTTGCCGCAGTTTCCCCGTTCACATTCATTAAATGTATTTTCTAATTACTTAGCACTAGTTATTACTGAGCTCCAGTCGGCGAAAGCGGTACAACTATAAAGACTTCTTATCGGACCGTTTACTCGTCTGATAAATTGCATATTTACTGACCCGGAGCCAGCCAGACGCGAATTTACTCGCGCGCACTTACTGGCTGATTATCGGCTTACCTCTGAATCCCTATCCATAACTTCATACTCCTGTCCCGACGAAGTCTTCCTTGAATAATCTTCAGCCGACGCTCTCCTTGTGTAATTTTCATAGCTCCGTTTTCTTGCCGAGTTCTGGCTACTGATGCGTCTTTGTCCGAAACCATGTTCCGCGCTCCGCGACATAGTGTCTTCGTCTGCGTCCAAGTTCTCCCAGCTTTGAATCTTTGTCGCTAACCTACCACGTCCAGCGGGATTAACTGGATTCCAGCTATCAACATACGACACCCGCGCTGTGGCGCGGTCAAAGTCGCCCGTGTCCACATCCCTGAGGCTTTTTGACCTAGATATGGATCCAGTCTCCACTCGTTCATTCAAGTACTTTAGGCTCTGGGACCGACCACGAAAACCCGAAGATCCCTCTTCGTCCTGTTCCTCATCGGAGCCATATAGTCGGGTGATCTTGATTCCGTCTGGTTGCCCGGTTATGTTTTGATTCCGATCGAGTAGATTGTCATCCGAGGCGGCCAGGTATCTATACGNAAAAATAAAACTCTGACCGTGAATGAATTAACACTTTGAAAACTGTTCAACCAGGTTCAAAATATCAATTCTTCTTACTGATAGCCGTACAATTCTTTTAATATCAGTTATGAGAATCGGATATTACATCAAGACAATATTCCTTTGTCACTGACTTTCTTTCTAGTCACCTGTCTGCTCGTATTTACATTCGAAAGAGAAATTCCAACTTGATCATTAAACGTTGGCAAACCATTACAAAGCATTCATTTAGAACTTTGACAACATTTACACACGTACATAATTTGTGAAATGTTAATGCGCCAGCGGACAAAATGCATACTTAGTTTAACAGACGTCCACAGCTTTGTTAGAACTGAGTGTTTTAAGTGCTATCACAGACTTCTGTTACAGCCAGATCTCATTTTAATGGATATCCGAACGTTATGGAATAGAACTTGACTAAATTATCAAACCTTTCGAGACTCAAATCTACGCCTTAACTGTAACATGAGTCTATTTTGTGATAAAAGCGCCATCATTTTCTTCGTTATTTCGTTGTTGCTCCGGATTTGTAACGATCAAACTGACCACACATCTTTCAAATAGTAAGCATGATCAAAATATTCTTCAAATGCGGATTGAAAATGCTGTTTTAAGCTGTAATATAAAAACCAGAACCATTAATACTGAGAAAGTATAGGTAATATTTACTTTCGCCTACGGCATTTCAAACAAACAGGCTTTCAACTTTACAGGTGAAAATTTAAATGTTTTCATTTTGTAGTATGCAAAACTACCTGACGCTAAACGCGACTCTCCCAAGCTAGAATAACACAGCAATTTCTTATAAATAAATTCCTGAAGATAAGACTTTGATAGAAAGTAAACATTCCCAGTAAATCAAGAAATGGCATCGAGTTACAACCTTCATCCAGTACAAGAGAGACTTGTTACTAGGGTGAATGACTGAGGTTTAAAACATGTGAAAAAATGCGTACTTACGTTTAAAAGTTAATTCTTGTTTATGGCGAGATCCCAACATTGCTAACGCCCAGCATACTCCGAGAAGCTAGAAAGATGTATGGACACGAACAGCGTGTTGCATCTAAAAGGCAACTAAAACAAACTTATTTTGGTGAATGACAGATGGAATATGAAAGCGCGACAGCTCCAAGAATTCGTGACAGTGTGAAATAAGGAAAACTCTAGAATGTTTGCGTCAGTGCTGGGTAATTACTAAAACCAGCGTCTAGTAACAAACAAGACTTGTTGAGCTAGGCTGTGATTGGTCGATTTCGGTAACCACCCGTTAAGTAACAGACATTGACGCCACGGCAAGAAATATTTAACGCTTATAGCTGGCCAAGAAAGAGCGTATTCACTGCCGTTTTGTCTTGTAGAAAGAATCCTGCTGGACAAACTGCCAGGATATAATTATTGCTGACTTGTGCTTTGGCATTTATACGAGTTTTTCGATAGGTTACAACTTTAAAGGCCCAAATAATTTTGAGATGCTCGAGGCAAGTTGAGAGGGTGGAGTTGAGGATCAGCTATTTTTGTAGGGGAGGTGTTTTAATTTAGCATTAAAAAACGTTTGTTTTAACTATGGTGATTATATCAATCATACACGTATTCTTCTAGAAATGTCGCACTACCACAAATATATGAATTGTAGCTGTGATCGACATATCTGAGAGAGAGCCAGTTTACTCTTGTTTATTGAGTCGCCGGCAAAACAAATGCGAAAAAAAAAATTAAAAAAGAAACGGCTAATGGCATGCCCGAAAACGTTATTAAAAACAGTTGCCTATGTTAACATAGTTCTTCCTTGAAAGGTCTATTTTGGCTAAGCTTTTTAGTAGACCATTAATTTCTGGCAAAACGTGAAGTAAAACAAAAAGACTTCTCAATATTATAGTGTGGGTATCCAGCTGTGAATTCTTCTCTCATGCTTAGTGCAAAGCTCACGACAAAAAGATTATTTTGCTTTCAATATTTTTTATGCAAGATTTTAAATGATAACGTCAGCTATACTGTTATAAATAAGTTAACAACTTGCTCTTAGGATACTTTTTATGCTGTAAAAACAGGAAAAAACATAAAAAATGTTTCGTCTGTTTGAAAGACATTTCAAGTTTAAATTCCTATGCTAAGTATTTTATTTCGCCCATAACAGGGTATATGCCCACAACTAACCCACTAATTTTGCTCCTACTTTGACTTTAATTCCCCCCCATATATTATTCCTTTTAATGCTCCCCAAATCCTCACGTTATTACAGTCTCATAATTCAGGAGCCTTAATCCACGTATTACTTATTGCCCCTTTCACCACACTTTCCACTCCCTAATCCCCCTAATTTTGATACATTTTCCTCATAATCTCCCCGATACGTCTTGCCATACCTACCACTGTAGTACTGATCCCTAATATTCTTCCATGGCCTATTTGCCCTTTCTCCCATTTGTCTCTTAATTACAGTCCCCTAATTCACTTATTACTTATTACCCCTTTCTCCACCCTTTCCACTCCCTAATCCCCCCAATTTTGATACTTTTTCCTCATAATCTCCCCGATACGTCTTGCCATACCTACCACTATCGTACTGATCCCTCATATTCTTCCATAGCCTATTGCCCTTTCTCCCATTTGTCTCCTAATGACAGTCCCCCTTATCCCCTTTGATATTTTCCCCCTATTATCTCCTCGAACTATCACCCCACACATCCCACTATACTACTGATTTTACCCCTTATATATTTTTTACTCTCCTACCATGAGTCGAACCTGGTACCTACCGCTATGGTACCTACCGCCTTAACCACTACATCACACAGTTCTCTGATGAAATGTCTCAACTTTTTATTTGGAATCATGACTTTGGGTCCCAGTCTCACCTCGGCCAAAAGGCAAAGTTTTATCCATTCCACGGTTTTTTAAAGTCAATATTTGGTATGTTTGGACTGCTGGCTGCTGGGGAAAAATTGTATCATCCACCAAATCTCCGAAATTTGAAAAGCAAAATGTTGAAGAAGAAAAAAACCACTGTCGGCCAATCCGGCCCAGCCCAGTCCTCCGAAAACTCTTCGCGGGAGTTGTCTGGGAGGCCGCGGGGAATGCTGGGTCAAAGATGGCGCCAAAGTCGAAGGCATGTGTTGATGTGGGAAGAGTTATTTCATTTTTTACGGATTTACAAAGAAAAGAACCGGATTCTTGTTAACTGTGGAGAATCAAAACTGACTGTAAAATATTCATGTGATGTTAGAGGAACGCAGAGGAGAGTACGAGTGCGTCAAAGAACAAATTTGTGTTCCACGTGCCAGTGTCGTCGAACGTCGATTTTCGGTAAGTTCAAGATTCAACTTGAAATTTTTCTAAGAGAGGGCATGAGACTAAGGTGAAAGAATCTTACAAGAAGATAAAGTCAAAGGTAAATTATGCGATTCTAACCACGGTACATGTACAGCGAGAACTGTTTCTTAACTTCAATTCACTATACAACTGATCAATGGGACGTTCTAATTTTGTCCGCACCCCCTCCCCCACCCCCCATGGAGGGTATATTTTGGTAAGGTCTGAGGAGACCCTTTCAGAATCTGCAATTTTCGTCGTAGAAGTTGGGGTAGGAAACGTTTCTACTGTAATTTCTCAAAATTATCGCATTGTTGGAATCAGTAAATTGAGAAAATTGCCCTTGTCTGAATCTGCCTTCTTCCTAATTTAAAGAAAATCAGTTGTATCGGAATCATTAAAATTGAAATTAAGACCTGTAGGAATCAGTTTTTCGCTGGATCCAAGACCTGTCAGAATCTGTCCCTCCATCCCCAGATACAGAAAATTTTTGGAACATCCCAATTTTCGCTTTCCTGCTTCATTGAGTTACCTTGCCTTTGCTTGCAAAATATTTTACTGTTTGTTTTTTGAATAATTTTCTAGACAGTGAACCATATAATGGAAATGGAAAATGATTTAATAAAACCTTGGAAGCAGTCGCAGCTACTGCCCAAGGGGGTTTCAGTTCCCAAAAGAGTACCGGTCTTTGTTACTTGTACTAATGAGGAGCACACTACTGTGGAATCCCAAGGTATAAATTATGAATTTCAGTTTGCTATAATACACTGTAGCAAAATCCAGTGTTTCAGCCAGAAAATTTTATTTGAGGGCCAAAGTGGC